CCTCCTTGAAGCCTTTGTCAGTCCTCGCCACACTAGTTACGATCTCACACATCTTGTTAAGCACGAGCGTCGACAGGAAAGGCTGCCACTTCATGGAGTTCCCCCTGCCGTCCTTCTTATCCTTTGTGGCCGACTTTTGAGTAGCAACACTGGGCTGAGCCAATGCTGAAGCCACAAATGGAGGAACCATAACCGACACCTCGAAAACATCTAAATCAACGGGCATCTGGTCGATGGGAGGCTGGGAGTCCTTGACTTAGGACACCGGGAACTGGCTCTTGGACACGACAAGGGCCTGACTAAACTCTTGCGTGCTCATGTCCTACAAGCGGGAGCATCATCAAGACCACATCACACAACACATGGACAATATGAACTACCACTAAATATGTACAGTGTGAATGAACACGACATATGGACAAATCGAATGAGCACTACCACATGCATAGACGGATGATCTAGTTCAACACAGCAGCTCAAATCATAGCAAGAAGTTCAATAACTAGCACAAATACTTGCATACTCCCTCCTTCCGGTGAAGAATGTACATCTAGAGATTTTAGGACAAATTATGAAGTCAAGTAAAAATGCATTGGAAAAGTGCAAGACATCAATCTCTCTCCTCTTTAATTAACCAACCCCCAATGAGCTAAGTGCATATAGAAATTAAGAAGATCATGTGTAGATTATTATTGGTCTTAATTACCGTGTGATGAGAGAGAAGTATTTTTTTTCTACTTTAAAGTGCATTGGAAAGATAGAAGTACACTCTTTTGTGGACAAATTTTGAAGCCAAACGTATACTCTTTACCGGACGGAGGGAGTACTACACATCAAGCATACTACCAATCCATCCGTCACCACTAGCAATCAATCGTTGCCGACATGAAAAAGCTCCTAGCATGCTTCAGATCCATCACCACTAGCTACTAGAACATCACACTTACATAGATCGGCAGATCTACTCCTACCACATACTCACAAATCTATCTAGAACTAGTAGAGAGAAGGGGGTGAATGAACTCACAAATGCCATCGGAGCAGCCGTGAAGGAGGCATTGAACACATCGGAGAAGAGAAGGAGTTGAATCGCCACCGCTGTCAACTGGTGGCCGGAGCACTAGCTTCGCTTACCTCGCCGTCGATGTGGCTCCGCGCCGGTGGGAAAACTCGAGAGGGGGGAAATGGTGACGGGAGTTTTGCTGCTGTTGTGAGGCTGGCTATATAGTGAAGCCATGAAGGCACTGATCACGTCGGAGAAGAGGAGTCGTCGAATCACCGCCGTCGTCAACTGGTGGCCGGAGCACTAGCGCCGCTTACCTCGCCGTCGATGTGGCTCCGCGCCGGTGGGAAAGCTCAAGGGGGGAAATGGTGACGGGAGTTTTGCCACTGCGGTGAGGCTGGCTATATAGCGCAACCGTGGAGGCGCTGAACACGTCGAAAAAGAGGAGTCGAATTGCCGCCGCCCATCAACCGATGGCCAGAGAGTAGCGCTGTTTACCTCATCGCTGATGTGGCTCCACACAGGAGGGAAAGCTCGAGAGAAGGGAAATGATGACGTGAGTTTTGCCGCTGCGGTGAGGCCGACCGAATCGGCTGGCGGTGACACCAATTCGTGCGTTCCTCATGGGCCAAACAGCACATTTTCCTTCGGCGCGGGCCTGTCTGAGCCTAATGTGATCTAAAGGTTGCTGGACCTGATGGCATGCCTGCAATCTTTTTTAAGAGATTCTGGGGCACTGTAGGAGAGCAAGTAACCAAGGAGGTGCTCAAGGTGTTGAGAGGTGGTGAGATGCCTGAAGAGTGGAACAACACCATGATAGTTCTGATTCCAAAAACAACTAGACCAGAGAGATTGAAGGATTTGCGACCCATCAGCCTCTGCAATGTGGTCTACAAACTAATATCAAAGGTAATCACCAGAAGATTAAAAAACATTTTACCTGAAATAATTTCCCCCAATCAAAGCGCATTTGTGCCTGGACGCATGATATCTGACAATATTCTTTTAGCATATGAAATGACTCACTTTTTGCAGAGGAAGAGGGGTGGAAGAGTAAGTTATGCTGCTATCAAACTTGACATGAGCAAGGCTTATGATCGAGTTGAATGGAAGTTCTTGCAAGGAATCATGTTGAAACTCGGTTTCAATAGAAGTTGGGTGCAGCTCGTGATGAATTGTGTGACAACGGTGAAATACCAAATCAAAGTTAATGGGGACGTCACAGAGATAATTATTCCTGAGAGGGGGCTTCGTCAAGGTGGCCCTCTCTCTCCATATCTCATTCTTTTATGCGCTGAGGGCTTCTCAGCCATGTTACAAAATGCTGAGATGAATGGGAGGTTGAAAGGAATCAAATTATGTAATACAGCCCCAAGCATAAGTCATCTTCTTTTTGCAGATGATTCACTTCTTCTCTTAGAAGTAAATGCCGACAACAGTCGCGAGCTTAATCAAATTCTGGACTCCTATGAAGCTTGCTCGGGCCAGGCTATAAATAAGGAAAAGTCAGCCATCTTGTTCAACAAGAATACAAAGCTGGAGGACAAAGAGGAGCTCATGAATCAGCTAAATATTGCTATAGAAGGCTTCTCCGGAAAATATTTGGGTTTACCATGCTATATTGGTAGATCAAAAACCAAAGCTTTTGAATATATCAAGGAAAAAGTATGGAAAAGGTTACAAGGTGGGAAAGAAAAATTGCTCTCAAAGGCCGGTAAGGAAGTCCTCATCAAAGCTGTAGCGCAAGCAATCCCTGTTTATGCGATGGCATGTTTTGACCTCACCAAATCTGTGTGTGAAGATGTCAGCTCAATGATTGCGAGGTTTTGGTGGAGTCAATTGGATAAAGAAAATAAAATCCACTGGGTTGGATGGGACAAGCTCACAAAACCCAAAAATGATGGAGGGCTGGGATTTAGAGACCTATATTCTTTCAACTTAGCTATGTTGGCAAGGCAGGCTTGGAGAATGCTACAAAACCCATCTTCCCTATGCGCTCAAGTGATGGCTGCTAAATACTATCCAAATCAGAATCTGTTACAAGCGAGGCCAAGAGATGGCATTTCATATAGTTGGAGAAGCATTTTGAAAGGAGTGCAGGTGTTGCAAAGTGGAATCATATGGAGAGTAGGAGATGGACGCAATATCAATATATGGGCAGATCCTTGGCTACCAAGGGGTGTTTCTAGGAGAGTAACATCTCAGCAAGGTAGCCATGTTATCACAAATGTTTCAGATTTGATTGACCCTACCTCTGGCACATGGGATTTACAACTGATTGATCAAACTTTCAACAAAGAAGATGTAGAGGTAATTGTCCAAATTCCGATCCGAGAGGGTGCTAAGGACACTCCTGCCTGGCATTTTGACAAAAAGGGTATATTTTCAGTAAAATCTGCATATCAAGTAGTGTTGGAAAACCAAGCCAGGAACTCTGCACATGGTGGAGCTTTGTCATCAAGTAAGAATGATCAGCATAGGGTAACATTTTGGAAGAAACTATGGACGTTGCCCTTGCCCAACAAGATCCTGCACTTCCTATGGCGACTGGCCCATTATAGCTCACCTCTAAGAATGAAACTACAGAATAGAGGAATGGAAGTGGATACAAGATGTCCACTATGCCATCGAATGGATGAAGATGGAGGTCATTGTTTCCTAAAGTGCAAATTTGTCAAGGCCGTTTGGAGAACTGCATTGTTGGAAGAAAGTCGGATGCAACTTCTCAATTGCCCAAATGCCATCTCGATGGTGGAGGATATCTTGCACATGAAAGAGGAAAAATGTCTGAAAATATGCATCCTTTTGTGGTTATGGTGGTCTGAAAGAAACAGAACTAATCAAGGAGAAAGGATTAGGACCGAAGAGGAAATTATATATTCAGTTCAGCTGCACTTGTTGGAATACAAAAAATACATCAAGCAACAGAGCAAAATGTGCAGGCTGTAAACCAGGTTTGGTGTCCTCCGCCTGATGATTTCCTTAAAATTAATACTGATGGAGCCTTTAGGCTATCAACTAAATCAGGAGGGTAGGGTTTTACCATAAAAAATAATCATGGAATTGCACTAGTTGCAGGAGCAGGGAGTTTGGAAAATGTTGTTGAACCACTACAAGCTGAAGCTCTGGCCATGCTCTATGCTGTGAATGAAGCGTCAAGAATGGGGTGCCAAAAAGTCATCTTAGAGACGGATGCAGTTGCTCTAAAGCAGGCGATTACAAGCGACCTGTACGACTACTCAAGCCTAGGCGTGCTGTTTAAAGAGATAAGAGCAGTGTTGCAATCAGCTTTTCAATCTTGTAAAGTAGAAACCTGCTCACGGACATCCATGGAGCGGAAGAGCTATCAGATTTGGCTTGATCCGTTTCCGAGCCATGTAAAAAAACTTGTCGCTGGGGAGTCCAGCTTGCCTGGGTAATGGAATACATTTGTGTTTCAAAAAAAAATGTGATCAACCAAACGCTACATAAACGAACTACAAAAATTTAGAGGGTCCAACTATGAAAAAGGCATCCATTTCTTCTCTTTCCCCCTATTGGAAACATCTGTTTCATGCCACTTCCACTATACATCCTCTATCAGTCATAGAAAATTTCTGTGTTTGTCCAAAAGCACAACTGCAGAATTTCTGTGTAGGACATCCATGGCACCTCGCACTGCATTTTCCCCATTCCTATCAAAACCCTAAGATATTGCTTGCTCTCGGTGGTCCCAGACAACCAATTTTTAATATTAGCTACTCCACAGAAGCGAACATGGCTCGAGCGCTCAGGTAATCACATCTATGCAACATCAACGATAACGATTTGCTCACCGATATTAGTTAATAGTGCACTATTTTTTTATCTAATCGCCAACCGAATAGCACAGTACCAGACTCACGATGCTTAAAGCTGCCTGATAAACACGTCGATCACTAACAAGGATAGGGTGACAAAATCATGCTACATAATACAGACAGAAAGATATTCATGGTTCCTCCCCATGGAAATGTTCTCAGAACAAAGCAGATGTAGCCTCAGCAACTTCAGATACAACCTGCTTGTATTCCGATTCCAGTTTCTCCTTCACCTCTTCAGTGATCTCCCCCTTGGCTGGCTTGGTCATCACCAATACGCAGCAGGTGGGCCTCTTGGTGGTCCCCGCAGTCGCAAGCTCCTGTTAAAGGGAAGCAACCACAATACATTAGCTTAATCTCAAGGCAACAGTGACATCCATCAGTGCAAGTATAATCACAACATACGACGACCATCTCCTCTGCTTCACCATCATATTTGTTATTATTCCTTCAAATTTTGTGGTGATACGAAGGCAAATAACTGGTAGCTGATACTATGCATTTTACTTTCCAAATGTGTCACGTTTCTTAACATCATCAGGCTTGGAACGGTTTCACGCTTGCATGTAACATGGGCCATGTACAGGCGCAAGACAGACTTCTCAAGGAAACCATAGACAATGAGTAGTGCTGTGGCAAATGGGTAACAAAAATGGACCAACATACAAACCCAATGAAGAACCCTATGCTGTCAAGACCTGCCAGCAACCATCTTGGTCTGCCCAGCTTAGAGTAGGCCATAGGGAAGAATAATGAGATAAGACCCATGTAAGGTACTAAGGCAGTTGTACCTAAGTTTGCAAAAGGATTTTAAAGGGTGTGCCTTTTTCTCAATTAGACAACACACTGGGAAGAAAAATAACAGCAATTGACAAGACAACTATGTGATGCTCCTTAGTTGCTATGCACCCACAGAAACATTTTTTTTAACTTGTTCACTCACGTTATTTATTAAAATGCAAGGATAGAGCCTGGCTCCAATTCTGGTGAAATAAAAAGCAACAACCTTAACTTCCTAATTGGAATGATTCCCCGCTCTAATTAGATGTTAAAAATAGGTTAGTGTCGGGCGCGGGGAAAGGTTATGTGATGATGCTCCTAGTTGCTATGCTCTCCCACAGAAACATTTTTTTACCTTGTTTACTCACGTTATTTAGTAAAATGCAAGGAAAATACACCAAGGTGGTTATAAAGACACACTGGTTGCTGACATATATTTCGCTGGACAATAGAGTAGATATGTAAAGCCAAATATGCAAGTTTTTTTAACATCAGGCCTGTAAATGATTTATGTTGGCCTGTGATGTGGGCTTGGTACAGCAATACAGTTACAAATATATACATCAGGAAAACATGCATGCTATCTCAAATGAGCATGCGGAGGCAAATGGGTGACTCCACTTATCAAACATTTTTTAACCCAATATAGATCTTCTGTGTCAGACTGATAGATAAGCTGGTAAAGCGACAATCTTAGGTCTATATCGACTCAACAGAATGCAAGGTGCAAACATATGATTTAGAACATAAACTGTCTGATTCTAATTCAGCTATAGTAAAGTGGACAAATAAAATGTCAAGAGATGTTTCTTTTCTCATTAGCTCCAGCACAGATAATTGAATAGAACACTTGAAAAGCAAATGATAAGACAACTACATGGTGCTCCTTAGAATGTGATGTGCCCAGGGAGGGGAACATTGCAAGGTACTAAAAGTAGAGAAAACAAATAGCTTTCAACTCGATAGCGTGGGCATTACTACTAGCTATCAGAAAGACAGAAGAGAGCTTTCTTTTGATGTTCAAACAATTAGTTGATGGTGAGAATCTACTCCCACCGTTTCTTTTTAGTCCGCATATAATGTTTGGTCAAAGTCAAGCTTTGTAAAATTTGACTAACTTTATAAAAAAATATAAACATTCACAATATGAAATCAATATTATCATATGCACAATGAAACGTATTTTCATACCATATAGTTTTAGTATTGTGCATGTTCATATTTTTTATATAAGTTTGGTCAAACTTTGTGTAGTTTGACTTTGACCAAATCTTATATGCAAAGTAAAAAGAAACGGAGGGAGTAATAACCAAATAAAAACTATGTGAAAGATCCAAACAAATGAAGAAAAAATGTGCGCCAGTTGCACCACTTTGTTGACTTGGTCATCATAGCATGAAGCATCAACTGGCCAGGATTTTAGGTTGTTAAGGTTATAAGGAGACACAGTAATTGCAAATGCGTGATAAGATACAACTCATTGATCACAACCAACTAAACATAAATATTGGAGCGAAAATGCAGCATACCTCTTTTGATGCCACATATATGTATGGGACATTAGCTTCCTCACAAAGTATGGGAAGATGTGTAATCACATCGATAGGAGAGATGTTTCCGGCAATTACACACAACCTGCATGAAACAGAACAATATGTGTCAATGAAATTAGGCAAGTCAAGCCACTGAATGCATAACATAGATAATGACACAACCAGTCCTTGACTTCATGTAGTGGCAAATGGGCAATCCCATCATCAACAAGAGTAGCACACTAAATCATTCAGTATGTACACTGTATGGATGTTTTAAATGACACATATGAGACCAGGTCTCACGGTTAGCAGGTGAGACCCGTCCTGATG